AGAGGAATCTCTCACTTTGTTGCTCTCTCTTCTTCTCTCTCTGATCTTCTCTCTTTATACTGAGATACACCGAAGAAATTTTACACCGAGATTCATCAAAGAAGATAAAGTTACAAGAGAAATAAACTCAATTTCTCTTATGACACATGCCACCAAGAAGCTAAGGGAGAACAATCTTCTTCTTTTTCTTTCTCCTTCCTTCACTTGCATTCTCTTTCTCTATCTCGAGGAAATCCCCAGCGACCCTGATTATTGTGGAGTATGCATTTCTGGCCTGCTTTGACAGGCTTTGTTTTTGTGTGCCCTAGGGCAGCAGGCAATGGAAAGGGATGTAAATAATGTAAAGATCTATGCATAGCATAATTTAATAAATAAGCTGCAATCTGTATGTCAAATTTAAGTAAAGAGCTTAATGAACAAGATGGAATTTCAGATTGACATATTCTGTAAAAATGACATAATTACATATATAACTTTTACTCGCAGTTAGTTAATTAAGCAAATTTATGTTAACTTTAAAAAAATTTTGAATCAATTAAATTTGAAAAAATATGAAAAATCTAATTAAGGAGTTTTGGTGATGTGTATTTAAAGTCAGTCAGTAATTTTTTCTAGGTGATTAGTAACATAATTAGCGTGCAAAGCCTAATTAAATAAATTGAAAGCATATAACAAAAAAGTTTGGAATCAAATGACCCTATAAACTACAAATGTGATCAAAATCATAAAATGAGCAATTAGGTATATGAATACAAAATAATATAATAATTAAAGTCATTTTCATATAAAGAAAAATATGAATTAAATCAAATAAATTGAAATCCACCTCAAATAAATATCCAAAAATTATAGGATACCATTTCTAAGTTCTAAAATAAATTTGAATATAATAAATAATTTTATTATACGTTTATTTTCTTTGAGATTATAGATATAATTATACTTGATCAAAATGCATTGAATTGCAGGCATACACACCCACTAAACTAAGCCTATAGACATTGAAGATCCTCATTCTTCACTCCAAAGATTAACTTGTGAGAAAGCATTAAGCAATTCATTAGATGATATCAAAAAAATGAGATGCATGTCACATGGGCTCATGAAGTCGACACCATATGATCGAAAAATTGGGCGTTAAAATATAACAAATTAAACTAAAAAATAAATGAATAGGTAATCAAAAGACTTCCTTGATCAAACTCGGAGAGTGTGGGACAAGAAGAGAGTAATAAATAGAAGGAAGATTTGCTTACGTGCCACCCAATGCTTATGTATTTACATATCTAAAACCTACACTTCAATTTTTAAATATATGTCATCTTATGCATGAAAAGGTGTATTTCATTTCTTAAAAGGTAAAATAGTGCATTTTTTATGTGATATAGAAGCTTTGGGTGGTATAAATGTAAAATGTAGACTTTAGTTGTTAAATTTGTAGATACATAGGAATTGGGTTGTTTGTAAGTAAATGCTAAGCAAATGAAAGCCCGTAGAATGGAAATAGAGAAAGTTAAAAAAAATACAAGTTTTTTGTATATATAACTGTAACCTTGCATTATTTCTTCATGTGTTCCTTATCAGCTTTAAAAGAGCCAACTAATTTACCCAAAACTCCTTTTCTCCATTTTGTTCTGAAGGACTGGTTGAGCACCTAACTGGAAAACAGAGTGTTCTAGGGTACCTGCGGCCCTCCTTCAATGGCTGAAAAATCCAGCATAATTTGGTAAGTTTTTATTTATTATTTTTATTATTATTATTTTAATGGTTTAAAGGCACGAGTTTCAATCTTTTCTAACTCAGGGTGCTCTCCTAACTTGAACTTTTATGGCAAGCAATGCAAATGGTTTTTTTATCTCGAAGATTTACATACATACCACTCAATTCTTTATCTATTTACATATCCAACGTCTAAACTTCAATTTTTTTATATATATGACACCTTACCAATGCATGAAACGGTGTATTTCACTATTCAAAAGTTAAAATAGCGGTATTTTTGATGTGATAAGACAGATTTAAGTGGTATAAATGTAAAAAAGTAATGTTTAGATGTTAGGAATGCAAATACATCTGTATAAATGCCACATCATTATTATTATTATACTTTTTTTCTGCGCATGCTAAAATGATAAGCGCTCAATAATTTTTTGATGGCGATGGAAATAGAAAGCCTCTTTGGGAAGCATTTTAATTATCTAGTAACAATGTATATTCTGTTCATTAATGCTTTTTGGTTCAAAATTTATTCTAAAAAGTTGCTGGATGGCTTAACAAACAAACCTTTGTAGATGCCAACTAATTTAGTGGGAAAATATTTTAGATGTTGCTGCCAATATATTGAGATTCCTCTTAATTATAAATTCATATATTGGCATCTATCATTTAAAAAATTAAAATCGCGAACTAAGCTGCTACTTAGAAGGATAATTTTGCACCACATCATTTGGACATTTTCTCTTGAGACAAAAGTTTTCATACCAAAGCATTTTGCAGCAGTAAATATATTAAGGATGTGATTGGATTTGGCTCTATAGACTTAATACTGGCCTATATTTGATGTAATTATTGAAACTCATTGAACGTCTGTGCATTGTAGGAATCATTCAATTTAGTTAATAATTGTTTTAAAAATTTTCACAATTCTGAAATCAAATTTCCTAAAAAAAAAGGCAGTTATTTTCTTACGTACAACAAAATTTTTATATATTTATATATTCCAAACTTGAAAGCTTTCATATTAATATGCTGAGCATGTACATATTTAATATATTTTCCCATGCATATGTTTTATTTTATAAATTTAAGTATATCATTATTTTTAGTTTTTTTCTAAAATGAAATATATTTTTTCATGCATATTTTTTTATTTTATAGATTTAAGTAACAAAAATGAGGTGATGTAAATGTAAATACGCATGTGATTTTTTAAAAAATAAAACAATAAAGTATTTCATAAATTATTAATATTAAGGAAAACTGTATATCTTATTTATTTTATTTAAGAGGGTGTGTAGCTTTGAGGACAATTAAATAAATTGTATGTCTCATCTCAAAGTCATAATTATAGCCTGGTGGTATTCTGGGTTATTGGAAACTTGGAAACAATAATTCGGGGAGAAACAATGGAAGTGACGTGACGGTCGGGCTGCGGGGAAACTCATCATCTCTCACAATAAAGCCTTCCAGTGTCCGAAGCATCTGGGAATCTCTTTCCATGCTGTGTTCCATTTGCACCAGGGAGTTGATGGTACCAAATTTATGTGGACAAAGCATGCATATTAATTAGAAGTAATGAAAAACTGTGGCTCTTTTTGATAGGGTGTTTACACCCATTTTTTGGGATTAATTGGTTTTCATTATTTACATTGGATTAATAAGTGATGATATGTGGCTAGAGGTGGTGATAGTTATTTTTAAAATTGTTTAAAATATTTAAATATTATTTTGAGTATTTTAAAAATAATTTTATATATTTTTAAATAAATATTCAATGTTAAAATATGCATAAGTTTTTCACATTCTTTCTCTTGTTTATCTCATTCACTGTATATTCTTATCTTCCTAATTCTTCTCTTTTCTAGTTCATCTATATGATCCGAAAAAGAGTGTTACTCGAAAAAAGGAATTATATGATGATAGTCAAGCTGATAATTTCTTAAAAAATAAAATAAAGAAAAAGAACCAAAACAAACTTTTTTTTTTTTTATTCTGAGGTTTAAATCTTAGAAAAGTACAAAATCTGCACTAAGTTTCTGATGTGCAAGACTTATGAAATAACATGCATATGTTCACGCAACAATTAATCTTCTGGAATTAAATTTTCTTTTGGATTAGTTTATTTCAGTAACGTTGCAAACTTATTGTTGCAATTTTGGGGTATATTAAGTTTTATTTTAAATTATAGAATTCTAAGAGCTACAGATAACTCAGAACGAGAAGTGCATCCCTCCCATAGTGACCTTTGAGCAGCATTCAATAAATCGTAAAAAGTTTGAGCCACCTGATTTGGTGTCTCTTCTTGCACTTGATTAACGTAATGTAGCGTTGTCCCATTAAAGAACATCTCTTCAAATCTACATGAGTGAAATCCAAGTGGAGGATCATAATTTGTCGAAGGAACTGAGTTGAATGTTGTAGGGTAAACCTCCTCATGCGAAGTCTAAATCTAGTAATCAGATTAAAATCTCTGACGATATAAATCATATCTTATTTTTTCAGGAATTAAGTGCATTTGATTAGTGTGTCCTTCGCATGGACAATGAAAATTATCCTCATATAGGTAAGATGGAATTTGTGAAGCTGCAGCCACGAAAATCTCTACACCGTTCAAGAACTCGTCGGTGATCCCTTTTTCTAACTGGATAAATTCTATTTTATATTCATGATCTTGTTGTACGAATATCCATATTTACTTATAAAAATGAGTACATGTGATTTAATATTAGGAGTTGACTTAATCGCATGTTTATAAAAAATGGTGATGAAATCGTTAGAATGATTGAACGTTTTAGATAACTTGAACAATGTTAATCACTAGAAAATTGATTGATTTGAATTTTAGCTATAAGCCAAAATTTTGGATCAAATTTCTTTCTATCAAACTCAAGTTCGGCTAGAAAGCAAAACGTTAACAACTTACTATTCTTAGGGCTACAGAAGGTCGATAATCAATCTAAAATTTTTTCAATTTTTTTGATCTAATTTTGTTTGTTACCATAGCTACACCAAACATTGTATAAGTTTATTTCTTTCAAGTTTTATTTTCTAAGTGAAAATGCAATCATAACTCTATGCATTCTCGTCTCCGCAAACCCCAAAATTAAAATCGAAGCTAGAACATTAAAAGCCTACCAAGGTTATTAGGGTTGTCGAAGATTGAAATCGAAGCTAGAACATTAAAAGCCTACCAAGGTTGTTAGGGTTGTCGAAGATTGATAATCTATCTTATGTCTTTTTGAAATTTTAGATCTAATATTTTCTTTTGCCATAGCCACACCAAACCTTACATGAGTTTATTTCTTTTGCATTTTATTTTCCAAGTGGAATGTCAATCATTAATGTAAGCATTTTTGTCTCCGCAAACCTCATAGGCGATTAAATGCACACCTAAAAATATGTTCTTAGAAAGAAATTTTTCATATGATGTAAGAGTTTTCATTGTATCCACCAATGAGAAGTCTAATTTCTATTACCAAAATGAAAAATCACGTCGAAATCTAATTTGTCAGTTCCAAAATAGAAATTCACTTCAAAATCTAAATTTCAAAGTGAGAATGAAAATTAGTTCTGGAAGTGAATTTCCAATTTTGAAACTCAAAAATTATATTTCAAAATGAATTTCCATTTTGGGAATGAAAATTAAACTTTGTTAAGGAAGAAACAGTGAATACTCTTTCCATATTATGAAATATCTTCTTTTAAAAAAAAAATTTGAGGTGTTCACTTAATTGCTTAGGAGGCTACGATGACGAGAATGACTAATTGTATGATTGACTTTACAGTTGGACATAAAATACAAAACAAATATATCTGTGAAAGGGTTCGAGTAGCTACAGTTGCAGACAATATTAAAAAAAGAAGTCTAAATAGATTTAATACAACATACCTAACATCAATTTGATGTTAAATGATCTGATTGCAATATGACCGAATGTCAATTGGAAATAAATTCGATCCAAAATTAAATTTCGAGTGATTCTTGTTGTTTTACCTAAATTTACGGTCCTACCCTATACAACACATATATAACATAAACGTTTAATGTCTTAAGTTCAAAACATGTACAACACTACCCTACGTGCAAAATCAGAATGTGGATCGATCCTACTAAATTTTAATCTGACACGGTGTTGATCATTTACTAGCTTAAGCCCTAACTATATATAAAAAATTCTACTCTCGATTCTTTTGTAATTACATATCTAACAACTAAACTTCCATTTTTTGCAAACATACAACCTTACATGTACATGAAAAGTTGTATTAAGATGCAAGATTTAAGTATCTGATATATAAAGACATAAGAATTTAGTGGTACGTATGTAAAAACTTTGACTCTAAACTGTCCTCCATGGGATCTACACCATCCTTATCTATGGATTTTTTCATTATGCATTTTGTCTCTACAACAACAACAAGCTGTTATCTCACTAAGTGGGGTCACCTACAAGAATCCTTTTCTCCATTGCATTCTGTTGAGTGTCATATTTTCGTTTAGTTCTAGTACATTAAGTTCCTTTTTTATACAATATGTCCAAGTCTTTTTAGGTCTACTTCTGTCTTTCTTAACATAAGTCGAATCTAAAACTTCTATTCTTCTAGGTGGATCCAGATGGACAACATTTAAAGTTACCAACCATCTAAGAAGACTCTCTCCATTCTTGACCAGCACATGAGCTACACAAATCTGATAACAATTCTATTCATTTCGTATTTATCTATATGTGTCAAGCAACTCATCCATCTAAGAATTCTCATCTCAGCAGCACTTACATTTTCTTATGCTTCTTTTTTAAAGGATAACATTTTACGCCATATAACATTGCAAGTCTCACCACCATCTTATAAAATTTTCCTTCCTTCATTTTGAATATATAATAATATATTCAGAAAAAATGGTTGAATTTTAATAATGACCGGAAATATTCATTTCTCAAAAGTTAACTCAATATATGATCAATGTAGTAGCAAATCCAATTCCAAACCACATTACTATTTCGGTTTGTTTAGAGCTATAAAGCATTTCAAGAGAACAAAAAAAAAAAAGCAATAACCCATATTACTATTTCAGTTTCTATTTCATTTTCATAATCAAAATGAATCAAGCACTAAGTTATTCAAGCTTCTTTCTTAAGAAAATTCTTTGTAATCTCATTTGGCTGTTTAAAGTTAGCAAAATATA